ACTTTGACACCGTTGGGAGTCCCCCTTCCGTGTCTTATGTTACTTGGGGTGTATTAAGAAGGCTACACCACTTGTAATACAACAACTAACAAAACACCTCATATAAGTGATCAGAATATTGAAGAAGAGATTTCACAATATATAGGCAAAGCAGCCTATAGATGAGTTAATGATATTTTGCTCTTTATAATTCCAGGCCTTGTAGCTCAAAATGTTCTTAATATAAATAATCTAGTAATTAATATTCGCATATTAGATGATGGATATAATGTAGGTAGAAAAATCAAACATGTAATAATCACTTGTACAGTTTTGGATGATATTTTAAATATTTATAAAGCTAATTCATACTATACAATAATTCTATATTCAGGAGGAGAAAACTATAAAATATTACAAAAAGTAATGGAACTAATGATTAGTGAATTACATAATTTGATAACTAATAGATTAGATTCTAACAGAATAAAATGGAAAGTTAAACTATATTTTAGTAGTGATTAGAAATTTATAGCTATAATGTTAGGATTTAATGCACCAAATGCTAACTATTTTTGTCTTTGATGCTTATGTACAAAAAAAGAAATTAGCAACAAAGATAAGATATATAAGATCGAAAAAAATATGAATTAACTTAAGTTAGAATTTTTTAATAATCATACTTTACAAAATTTAAATCTACCACTATCTGGAAATCTTAAAGTTTCTCTTCTTCCTATGATTTCTCTAAATCATTATGTACTTGATAAACTACATATAATGTTGAGAATCTGGGATCAGCTCTGGGAATTAGTAATTCAAGAATTAAAATCAAAAAATATATTTGATAATCATGTTAGAGCAATTATCAATATAGAAATGCAAAGAATTTCAGTTGGTTTCTATTTCTAACAAGATCATGCGCAAAGTTGGCATTATACATCTTTGATAGGAGATAATAAAGAAAAGGTATTACATGATTTTAATTTTGAGATTATTTTTGATAAAGAATGAGCTATATTAATTAATCGTTTGTAGAAAGATTTTTATACACTTTATAAGCTTATAAAAGATCAAGAAACTGATTCTACTTTTTTTATAGTTTAAGCAAAAAAATGGCTTGATTTATTTCTTACTTCTTATCAAGGTGAACCAAACACAATATATTTTAAAAGAGGCCTCTACTATTCAAAAGATGTTACTCTATATATATATGTTTTAATTCATCATATCTCTAAATTTATGAAGTATCATCAGCATTTTGGGTTGGCAGCATTTTCTTGCGCAGTAGTAGAGAAAAAAAACTATGATCAAGTTTCAACATTTTTTAGAAAAACAATAAAAGATAGTGGCAAAAACACAAACAGAAAATCTGCAATTTTTGAAATCCTTAACTATGAAAATCTGTCATTATATTTTATACAAAATTCTACTTCTAATTTTGTTTTTAAACTTCAATATTTTCATATTAAAATATAACTTTATTTAATCCTCCTGCTATCAAAATTTATTTTTTTATTCTTTATATTATTTCTGATATTATAGTAGTATAAATCTTATCAAATAAATTAGAGCTTGAATGATCTAACTGAATAGTCTTTAAAAGATTTACTACTTAATCAGTTTTTTTAATATACTAACTAATAAAAATCTTTTACTCTTCATTATGTAATCAATACAATATATCTATTAGTTTTTTTTTTACAAGCTAGAATAAACTTTAATTAGTTAGAATATCTTTTAATATTATTTAGACATATTTTCTATAACTTTTAACACAATTTTGAATAACTTTTAATATTTACTATGAGTTCATATTTTGTTTACCATAATATCAATTAGACATATTCACATAATTTTAGAATAACTAATATAAGTTAGATATGAATAATTCAGAAAGTATTCTTGCTCAGTTATTGTTACACACTGGTCAAAGTCAAAAAATTTAATATATCGAACAGACTACTCAACTGCTAGTTGATCTACTATTCAAATATCTATTATCATGTATAAGATTAAAGAGTACTATTTAATATGTCACATTTTTGATTTTGACTAGTGTGAATATGGAATTAGAGTTTAAAAGATAGAAATAAGACATTAATTTTCTAATAGAATGTATTATTTGACCAAGCAAAAGTTATTTATATATAATCAGAAATCAGCTAAGGCAGGTAATTCTAAGAGAATTTATAATACAATAATTTATTACAATTATGGAATTGATATAGCAGAATATTATAATAAATGCGAGGATTGAATTTAAAAGTAAGTTATTGGTTAATTTTTGTTATTACAAAATTTTATTTTAAAAATATTTATTCTTTAGAGAGTAAGTATAATATTAAGCTGTAAGTTACGCTTATAAAAGTTTATCATTAAATAATTATATAATTATTTCATTTAGTGAATAATTATAAAAACTATTTATTAGAAAAGATATAGACTATTAAGAAAGCTACTAACAGGTCTGGCGATCTTAGTGTAGTGGTTAGGTTGCCAGACTGCCATGCAAGAGGTCTGGGGTTCAAATCCCACTGT